ATTACATATTATACATATATAAAATAATTTGAGCCATAAATTAGTATTGGATTATAACCCGAAGTATAAAATAGATATCCATGAGTCGATACTGTCATAAAACATAAGATAACCTCTTATCAAAGATGTTGTGTGTCTAGGTGCACTTTTGCATGAAGGGGATATTTTAACAACTGTTACACCTTGGTGACAACCAGGTGATAGAATTTAAGGCAGTTTATTTTTCTGTACCCGATTCTGTAATGTTAGTATTTTACAGAAAGAATGAACTGTGTTTATAAATAGAAAAAGTAATAGTTTGTTTTTTTAAATAGGAAGGGATATATGTATATAGCCTATTGTTTTGTACTTCTTAACTATATTAGTACACTCTTCAATTATTTGGAAAGACTTTCATCCAAGACTGGATTTCAGTTATTTTTCAATGAAATCAATTTGAGAATTGCTAGCAAAATCTGAATCAGCATTAACAGAAAGGATACTAGATCTTCATAGATTAGAATAACATCATATATAATATATGATTATCAGGTTTGAATTTACCATGTACTCTTCACTTTCTTCTCTATAGTCATCCAATTCTTTATCCAGACGAGAGAGTTCTTTATTGACCTCATCAAGTTCTGCTTGTAAGCTCTTGTATTCCTGCAGGCCAGTGTCAAAATTTCTCTTGTAGAGTTGTCTTTGTTGATCTGAAGTGATAGGTGGATATTCCCTAAAAATTGAGAAAATGACTACTTATGACTCTAGCAGACATAAAATTCAGTGTTTCTTCATCAAAGATAATGAAGCTGGTGGGATGTGAAGAACGACAATCTCCTGTTTTCTTTTGTTGCTTATGGAAAGAGGAAGGTGGGATGCAAATAAGTTCTCTTAAGATTATACGTTAGGGGTGCCTGGGGCATCCGACTCCTGATTTTGGCTTAGGTCATGATCTTGGGGTCATGAGATCTAGCCTCTTCAGGCGCCAGGCTCAACATGGCGGCTGCTTAAGATTCTCTCCCATTCCCTCTGCCCCGCCCCACTGCTCGCTCTCTCTCTCTCTCTCAAAAAAAAAAAAATGATTATACATTATACATCACTGCTTATGCTTTTAAAAATACTATGCGGGGGTGGGGGGCAGTGCCTGGGTGGCTCAGTCAGTTGAGTGGCTGACTCTTGGTTTCTGCTCAGGTCATGACCTCAGGGTCCTGGGATCAAGCCCTGCATCAGCTCCATGCTCCGTGGGGAGTCAGCTTGAGATTCCCACTCTCGCTCTCACTCTACCCCTCCCCAAGGTCGTGCATGTCCTGTCTCTCTCTCAAATACATACAGCTTTAAAAATAAAATACTATGCTTATATAATTTTTAGAAATAGAATTAAAAATCATTTATGAAATTTAAGGTTCAAGTCATACGAACTCATTTATTCTAAATATACACCACCACATAATAATAGAATATTTATGTTTAAAGTCTTAGAACTGGAGGAGCGCCTGGGTGGCTGTCGTTGGGCGTCTGCCTTCGGCTCAGGTCATGATCCCAGGGTCCTGGGATCGAGCCCCACGTCGGGCTCCCTGCTCAGTGGGGAGCCTGCTTCTCCCTCTCCTACTCCCCCTGCTTGTGTTCCTGCTCTCACTGTGTCTCTCTCTGTCAAATAAATAAATAAAATCTTTAAAAAAAAA